TCCACTCTGTGAATCTGTGAAAAGCACATGCCACAGCCATATGCCATGCCACTGGAAGACAGCAATAGAGGCAACACCTCAAATTCCTGTTTTGTTGTCCCAATTCCTTTAACATTTCAATTTATTGGATGAACTATACCCCATTTCCTATCTCCAATAATACAATTGAAATACTTCATTAACTATTTTCCAAGTCTGCTCTGCATCAGAAAACAGGCAATACACACACAGCACACTTCTATTTGCTGTGCAGGTCTTCACATCTCCACTAGAAATATCCAGGATCTACAAACTGAAAGAGGCTAAACCCCAACCCAACCTTTGACATACTACTCAGCTAATTTTCTCAACAGCATTATTTGTTTCACGTGTCTTCTATCATTTTACCAAATACATGCTTTTAAGACTGCCATCAGCCTTTTTCCTCATATTCCTTCTTCCTACAAAGACCAGTGTTAAAGCATAACAACATGAAATATTTGTTCAACATATATCATTATAGTAACTGCTTCATAATACGTAAGTATAAGGTGATAAGGGCAAAACGAGAACTGCAAATGTGCCCACTATCACTCAAGTCTCAGGAGACAGCAGTCTTGAAATGCCTTGAAAAATAAAGCAAACTGTGCCCTGACAACAAAGCTTGAAATACCTCAACTAATCAGACACCTTTTGTTGCTATGTGCATATTGTGCCAAGTTAAACATTCAGTTTACTTTTACAATCAAATTCTATTTGTACTAGTCTCAAAAGCTTTTTCGTATTATGTACCATTATTCATTACTAACCTTTATTAAAACACACCTGTGCACTTTCATGATTTATAAACTCCTTATTTATAACTTACAGCAATAAATTTAACATCTGACAGATTTCCACTACATTAAGTGGAATTTCAATCTAAATAGAAAATTTTAGTAGAACTGTGAGGGGGTCAAGTTCAGCTCCTACGGAAGTCAGGCTCTTGTTTGCTTCAGCAAAAGCCGGATCAGAGCTCTAACAGCAATTAGTGTTTTTCTGAGCTGCTTCTTATCCAACTTTTTTTAATAAATTATCTACACAAAGATCAAGAGTATTTAAGAATAAAAACTTGTTTTCCTCCTTTAGATTTTCTAAATAAAAGCAAGCTGCGAATGTATTATATTGTTATGCAGGCCATAATTACAAGAGGCTGATCAAACGTGATTAGTACAGCCAATTGCATTTTTAAAAACTTACTAATTTCTATTTTATCTTTTTATGCAGCATGAAACTCACATTCACTGTTTGGTCTATCTAAAAGGTCATACCCTTTTAACATGATGACATCTGTGAGGTAAAGGCAAGCATTTTATTGAATTTCATAAGCTAGGATTTTAGAACAACTCTAGCCTGTCAAAGGACAGCCTAACTGCATGATACCTACACCAGAAGTCATAAAAGTAAACGGATGTAGAAAGATGCTGCATTTCCCCTCCCCCTCTCAAAAAGTATTTGTTAGATTTCTAAGATTATTTTTTTCTCCATCCATGAGAAATGGAGAAATGGCACTAATGAAAGAAACAATCAAGGTATTCTGCAGGTCAAGACTGAACACTAATGTTAAACAGACGTGCTACGTTTCTAAAGCACTATACTTTCAGTGTCAGCAACTCCTGGAAAGGTGTAATGGAGCAATGGAGAATTGTTTACCAGAAGCCTACGGTCTGCAGGCCTCATCTCTGCTAGGAGTGAGCAGAGCCAGACCATGAGAACACCGGATCATGTTTGGATTGCCTTTCTCTTGCGCATCCTTTGCTCTCCAGAAACAATAACTAGAACACGGACAACAGGTTGACCGTAACAAGATGCAAAATAATGATTCAAATATCTGGTCCAGGGTAGATTTACATAATGAAGAGTTGGGACTGGCCTTTACAATACAAAGCCCGTTTTCCTAATATGGCAAGAGGTGGTGTTACGGTAGCAAATAACTCATGACTTCGGGGTGTATGACAGAGCAGAAATAATTGAAAATTAGTAAATACAATTTCAGCCTCATTATGCTCCTAACACCCCAAAGACTCCAACTTTCAGACCCGAAGCTTCAGGTGTCGTTGAGATGTATGTGCTCGTATAGCACTTTGCTTTTAGCAATCTGCCCCAAGAAACTGTAGCAGTATGGGTGTTGGAGAGGACTAAGCTCCTGGAAATTTTAATCCTGCTGTTTAGAAACTGTTCTTACATTACCCCTCTGGTACCATATCTCTTTAGCACATGCAACACTGACTGACAACATAAAACATCAATTTAAAACTTCAAATGGAAACAGGCCGACAGACGGAGGCTCTTTTCTGTCAAAGCAGAATTTCCTGCCGAGCAGACACTGGGTCAGCATCTGAATCAGCACTTTCTGGGCATGCTTTCCAGCACTCCATTCAGATTCAGTCCCAGATGCAATTTAACAAACACAGGGAAACTCTTAAGAGGCAGAAAGGTTAAAAATAAAGTTACTTAAGAAGCTGCTCAAAGACTTTCTTCTAGCAACAACGCTACTACCTGCAGAAGTAATGCCAAGCTTAACTTACAAACTTTCCTATCTAGAGCAAAAGTTACATCACAGTACTAGGATGAATTAACAGTGACATGCCACCACCAGGTCTTGCTGCTTCAAATGATATTCTAAAAATATTTGTCATTCCCTTGCCTTTCCTCTCCCAAACTTCATTTAGGAGGGAATTTTTCTTCTAGCTATTTGAGGCAGACTAAATTCTTACAACTTTTAGACTGACATTTTTCGGAAGGTGGTCAATAATTAGAAATACCCACGATAAACAAGGACTGTACAATCTTCTCATGTAGCTACTTCTCCAACAAACTCCTGACACACTGCAACCTTGCTACCCCAATCAAAAATCTCCTCATGATTTATATTGTGGTGTTTTTTGCAATTTCTGTCATACATTCTTTGTGCGCTAGAACAATGCTCGTAAAAGTTAAAAATAATGAAATAAGTCCCTTAGGTCCTACTACCTGTATTATCCTCCTTTAAGGAAAAATTACTAGAGTTTAAATTCTTACAACTGTGAACAAAGCCTGGTTATGACAGCAGAAAGAAACTATAATGCACATTAAGTCATATTTGTACTTTTAGGACTTTGGTACAGGATGATTATCCCAGCAAAATCTAAATTAAAACTGCTATAATCTTTATCTTACATTGTTCTCTATATATTGCAGGGCTTAAAAACTACTGAGGGGCTGCAGACTGAGAACCATTCCTTAACAAAGGATTTTTGCAGAAGAGAGTAGGAAGTTTAGATTTCTTTCTAAGAGACGAAAGCAGAAAACCATCTCAGCCACCTTATTTTTATGTATTTCCCATATAAAAATATCTAAAAAATTCAGGATGAAAAACCCCAGAGCTTCACAAACCCCTGTTTTATTTTACTTTAACACTGCAGAGGACATCGTCCTATATCTGACTCAGAATCAAGACTACTTTAAAATAAGCGCAGTTCAGTGGTTTTTAATTCTTTCAAAACAGGCAATATCCTGGCTCTCAACAGATTTTTACTACGACCATTTCCTTACCTCAATCCCAAACATTGCAGAGGTAAGCATGACAATTGCAGTGTTACAAAAGTGTTACCTAAATTCAAAGGTTAACAAAAAGGAAAAGATTGCTTGTCAAAAAGTATGCGGAATAGTGCAGGAACACCAAGAAACATCACTTACGCTTCTTTTTACACTTGAAAAACTCATACCTGTGTACACTGCTTGTCAAGCTTCTTTCACTTGAGGAAGATGATGACAACGACGATGACGACGATGCAGGTCTCTGTTCTGTTTTCATTCCTAGAGTCTCTGTTGCACTAATCTGAGGTTTTTCACCTTCATCTTCTGCCTTTTTTTTTTCACTATCACTTTCATCACTGCCTTCTCCTAGGATGTCATCCACCTGCCAAAGAGTAGAGAGTCAGTGTGTCCTCTAACAGACTGTTATGTATCAATCTTCCATAATTACTACTGGATTGCTCTAAAATCCAGGGTCAGGGAGAATGAAAAAGATGGCTAGAGATAAACCAGTGAAACTGGTCAAAGTGCAGGGAGTACACAGGGTACGTATATTTTGGTGTGTACAGAATACACAGAAAACCTCAAGTGTTTTAAGTATTACAGTTTCTGGGATGGCAGAAACACCACGCCTGTACAGCTTTGTTGGAAGATCCTCAACTGCAGCCAACATGGCCAACAACTGATAGTCAAATGGCACCACAGACCTACTGCTCTGACAATTCCTTCCCAGCAAGTCTTACATTTAAAAGCACTTTCCTCCATGCCAAAAGCAATGCTTTTCCTGAAAGTCATACGTTTCAAACTACATTCTCACTATGCTAAGGTTTTCAAAGGACAAAGTTAGGTTGATAGACATACAGCATTACAGATGTCTTTTACAACCTCAATTATCATAGCCTTTTAAAATCTACTTTGTGTGGCCACTTTTGACAGATGAGCAGTCCAGTTAGTCATGTCTTTTTCTTTCATTCTGCACAAAAAGTACATTATTTTGAAGTTTGAATGCCATGTAATATTAGAATTAGTAAGCTATACACATACATGTCCCATTTCTGCGGAAAGGTATTTAAAATGCATTAATAAATCACAGAAATATGGCAAATTTTGAAAACAACCAACACAGGATAAACCACTTAAATTAGAAAGGCATCCAAAATATAGATTCCTGCCTTACTATTGATTAAATTGCAAGTCATACTGAAAAATGTAAAGATTAACATCTTCATCATTCAGAACTCTCAAAAGAAATGGAAGAAAACCCTATGTTTTCATTGCGGCAGTAAGATTTAAGCCCTTCACTAGAACAAATTAATAGGTTAAAAAAACCCTACACATTAATATTTAAGCAGCAACTAACTTGAAATAAATAAAAAAGCTTAAAGAACAGAGGAAACCTTCCATCTGGTTCAGACCAAGGCAGATACTGATGTAATCCCAATTATAAAAGCCAGAACGTCTTCAACTGACAAAGCTATTTTATTTCTCATTTAGGAGGAACACAGCATATGCTCCATGGACAAAGTATAGAGAATAAAGAGCAATGAGATTTTCATTCTCAGATTATGAGCTGTACAGTACTTTGTTAAAAAGAATACTACAGAAGGTTTTGTCTTTAACAAACCAGGTCAGCTCCAGAAGTTGAGTTTACACATTCAAAATTAATCAAGACTCAAAACACCGAAAGAGAAACTGTCATGAGCAACCTCAATTTGTCAGAAAGATAATTTACAGGCAATGTTTTGGGACAGCATTATGGATGGGACAGAAACCTATCATGATGCTTTACATTTTTGGAATAAGCAATTACATATGCAGCAATGTAAACCACATTTTTTAAAAAACTTTAATCCTTGTTTTTAAGCTAGTAAGTATTCAAAAATTCAGTGTTAATAGAATGGAGAAACTAACTACCTTGGAGAGCAACAGGACAACACTTGTGACTACTTAAGTGGTATCTCCTAAAAGCTCCTATAAGTAGAATGCTCTGAATCAATTCTTTACTGGGATTACAGTGAGTTCTACAAAAATAAGAGGTTTTGTGGAGAGCTATTAATTTTGTGCTCCAGTTTTGCATGGAAGATACATCCCCCTTCCTCCTCTCCCCTCAGTCTTTGCCCAAAGACCAACTGTACTTTTCCGCCAACAAATTGCATAGGTTACGGGAAAAACAGAAAAAACCCCAAATATTTACAAAGAGTTGTTTAGGTTTGTTTCTACTGCCACAAAAATGTCTGTTCACTGTTAGCAACGGACACAATTAAACTAGTATTGGCAGTAAGCACCCATGTAAACCAACTGCATTTCAGCATACAGCCTGTGTCTGCTAAGCACGTATTTGAGATTATGTTGAATACACTGCATTTTAGGAAGAACTGGCAGATGACACATTATTTTAGTATCTGCATGTGTCAGAAGGTTTCAATATGTACCTTATATTTCCCCCGTGACATTTAAATTCATAAAAATAACCAAGATGAAAATAAGATGTCCCAGTACACCAGGAATTGCAGGTATCCCCATGGTAATACCCCAACATAGTCTTACAGAGTACTTTACAATGCTGCCATGTTTTGGGGCCAGGGACTATAGTTATTCAACATAAAAGCTCGCAGATCACCAAGTCTACCCCATCAGTGGGTAAACTGATGCTCTGCAAACAAAGAGCAGACTAAAAAAAGGCAAAGAGATGTTCCACAGGTCAATTCAAATTCCACTTGCTTTATCTGCACTGCATTTCTTTTGGTGTTCTTTCAGGTAGCTGAATAAGGCTGACAGTGTTCTGGTCAGCCTGTTATACTGATACCATAAACACAATCAATACCATTTGCTTTTAATATGTATCTCAAACTGTATGCATACAATTACTTGAAACATAACAGGCTGGGAGTCTTGAAAACATTAATTATGAAATGTACACAATATTTTTGTGAATACACTTAAATACACTGCTGGCATCTAGACATCCCAGTGTGCTCAAAAGTGTTCCTAAGAACCAAAACAGTTCAGTGTTCAGGGCTGGTTTTGCCAACATTCTCTCTTTTTACCAACATGTATTTTAGGACTGATCTACACACTTTTATGACTTATAGGAATATTTATTGTTTGCTATTAAAAGAAGTGAAAAGCTAGTGGTTTGGTCTTACAGGTTACTTCCAAGCTACAGGACAACCTGCTCAAGGCTGTAAATATGCTGCATATATTAAAAAAATATCAAATGTGCATAAACAGGCAGAGAACATGAAAGACAGTGCTTCTTAATTATATCCTCATTTACTTCTGAATTATGTTTACCCACATCTGCACCAGAATGCTGTCCCTGAAACATGGGCATCTTCCAAATACTACTAACTTCCAAATGTAACATGAAAGACAGTGCTTCTTAATTCTATCCTCATTTAATTCTGAAGTATGTTAACCCACATCTGCACTAGAAAGCTGTCCCCGAAACATGGGCACCTTCCAAATATACTAACTTCCAAATGCTAATTGTTTTGCAGTACATCACCAAAAGATGCTCTTCCATGTAATTCACTGTTTCTCCAGCAGAACTGGGGCCCATGGTGAAGTTTCCCTAGAGGACAGAGCTTGATCTTATAAGCTCCCATAATTCTCAGTTTGATCCTATAATCTTTATCCCTGCCTCCACTTCCAACATTCCTTTCTGCTTTATCCCAAACTATTGCTTTTTTACAAGATCAGCAGAGTTTTTACACGTATTTTACATGAAAAGTTAGAGAAATCTGCAGACTATTTCAGGAACTTTTACACAGCACTAAAAGTGAGAAGCCAAAGAGCGTAGATGGGAAAAGTGATGTTAAAAATTACAGATTAAAAAAGCCCTTCTGAGCCTGTGATGTTAACAGTGAATGATGGTATTAGACCACAAATCAAATCAGAGAGAGTGGTGGCTCTATCTTAACAAGTTACGTTGTTCAAAAGAAATCAGAGAGAGTGGTGGCTCTATCGTAGCAAGTTACGTTGTTCACACAAGGCTGCCTAGATGCTGACACCAACACGGCATGCAACTGCCTGACACATTATTATTATTATAGCAAATTCACAAATTCCTCTCGCCTCAAACCATACACTGGGCATTTGGTAAAGCAAGGAAAGGTTTACCAAGAGCGGGGCAGGAGAAAGGAGTTTTGTGCAACTAACTTGGAAAATTTAACCCCTTGACACGCACAGTAAAAGGACTTTTGCAGAGAAGATTAAGAGGCCATGGAGGGGATTGACAAAGCACCTTCATGAGCACAAGGCAGAAAGTCAAGCACAAGGTCATCTAACCTGCAGGCAACTACCTTTAATTTCAAATCCTGCTTGGTTCTGTGCTGAACAGCATAATACACATTGTACCCCTATGTTAAATTAAGCAAGATCAAGTGTTAGTTAAGCAACTTTACCTGTCAGAGCACAGTTTCTACGATTGCTGCCTATCTGAATGCTGGGTTGTATTCTACTGAATACAGCATTAATCCAGTTCTTACATATATTTCAAAAGGCAACTGATTTGTGTTACATTGTATCCTTGATTGATATCCTTCTACTGAGTCCAGCAATATATCTATAAAATCTTTTTAATTTCTAGTGAAGAGAAATAGCAAAAAAGCAGAAATATCAACACTGAAGCATAAAGAAAGCATAGGTGTACTTAAAAGAGAGAGTTCCACTGAAATTCCAAAAGCAAATAAATGTTTTACAGAAAAAGAAAAAAAAAATACCCAAAGTCAAGTTCCTTAATGATTAGACAACCACAGTTACTCACACTGGGAAAAATGTCAAAGTAGAATCTGGTTTTAATGGTTCAAAAATGGTTTTATGACAAGCTTTCAGAACATCCAATTAGTTTCAAAAGGGAGCTTATTTTTCTTTATAATTTTTACCATCTACTGCATTTAGTTATTCTTGTTCTTATATTCACAGAAAGAATTGCTTGTTTCACTCTGCCTTTCAGCAAAAAGACACACCCACCCCCCACCATTAGCAATTAAGGAAGCATTAAGATACAACATACAATGAAATTAGCAAAAGCATTATTGCTTTGGTCCTCAGCAGAATTCCCTGAATAAGAGATCTCCATGCTCAAAATTTATTATTTAAAAGATACCGTGCAGTATAGTTTTGAAGTAGGAGGTGATTGCCTTTTTCCTCTGCGGAGGGGCAGCATAAATGGATAACTTTATTTAGTATAACTCAGAAATCTGTACACTGCCTAAACTAGAAGTCAGGCCTTTGCAGTAAGAGCGAAAGCAAATCTGTAATTGTGTGCTTCCTGGAACTTGTGGTCTGGAATTCTGTTCATCTACTGTTGAGCAGAATTGCAGACTGAAATATTAGCAGCTTCGGGTAAAGACCTATCAGTTTAGGATGAAAAGCAATGAT